GGGGGGGGGGGGGGGGGGATTCGCAAAAATGAAGAGGAATATTTTTTTTTTGTTTCTTCATGCAATATAACGAAGCAGTTCCATAAACATGACCAATTTTAAACAACTATTAACTTACAAGAATTAGCTCCACTATCTGTCTTTGTAGATACATCCCCACTACTTGAAATGGTTAGGTTCTGGATTGAGGCTCTTATATCTCCGAACAACTCAGCTTCAATATGTTCTAGTGTCAAATTATCACTTTCCAACGTGGAGATTGAATCTGCAGATTGTCGCACATCCTCCTCAATCATAGGTAAATTGTGTTTTTCACCTCCCTTCATAATGCTGGACAACTCCTCGGCATCAAGCACGCCTGAATATGTTGTTTGTAAGTTTGAATTCACAATAGAGGATTACATAAATAAAGCCCTTTAACAGGAAGTATACTACCTGCATCTGTAAAGAAAGCACTATCCCAAGCTAAACTTTTGCGTAAATTGACCTTTCCTTTTCTGGCCTTTCCAGGCTCTTTTGACTCATGCAGCTGGGGGAACTGGTCATCACGGTTACCTTTACCAACCATGTCCATTTCCTCTTGAATATTAGTAGCTCCTGAAAAACCAAGATTCTAGCCTCAGCATGATTTGCTGAACACAAAAATAAAATGATCTTTATACAAAGATACCACATTGGATATGCAGATGCAGCTTAGTACCNGCATGATTTGCTGAACACAAAAATAAAATGATCTTTATACAAAAGTACCACATTGGATATGCAGACGCAGCTTAGTACCTCTGTCAAATGAAAAAAGTAACATAAGCAAGAAAAATGCTTCTAGCTCTAATAAATTGTCATATAAACCAAGGAGAAAACAGCAAAAATATCCACCTGCATGAGCGTTAGCTCATGCTCAAAACCAGAGGCGGACCCAGAATTTTAACGTGAGGGTGGCACCATTGTCTTACTCAACAGCACCCCCTAAAAGCTTTTAATGTTCAGGGTGCTAGATTATTTATATAATCATTTTCAAGGTATGTACATATACATATACAAGATCTCTGTCGAAGTTTACGGGGTCCGGTGACCCCGCAACAATACACATAGGTCCGCCTCTGCTCAAAACTCCTCTGACACGAGTCCTAGTCATTGCGCTGCGGTCCGTTTCCCGGCTTCGCTTGTGCGATTTGCACTTCTGATTGGTTTCAGCCATCCCCAACCTTAATGGATGGACCATGAAGAGGTCAGTCAAGCGGTTAGGGTTTTCGGGAACAATCCCCACTCGCTGCTTCACAAAAGGTTGGCATCCTTTTCATTTATGAGATAAATGAGTTGGTCAAGTCCAGGTCCAACATTAAGTAATTATGATTCGGAGATATACTAAATACAACAAATAAAAACTGTAGCATTGTGAGAGCTCTTTAGTTCATAGGCTATCAATCAACTAGGATAAAAAGCACAGATTATTTTCCTCCAACAACATTACTTTAAAAATCACAGTAAAGCTGTCTAAAGCTCTCTTCAGCCCGAGAATGGGCTCAAAAGTGAAAGGAATAAACATGCATGAAGCCCAAATATATGAACAACAACAACAACAACAACTATTATGTCTCAGTCCCAAACAAGTTGGGGTAGGCTATATGAATCCTCACTTCTTCATTTAAGCCCAAATTTATGAACCACAAGAAAACATATATCAGCTCAAGCTACTTAGTCACTTTTTTTATCAGCTCATTTCTTCCTTGGGTGGGATGGAAAAACCTTGAAATTCCTAAAATTGTAGACATTCTTCCAAAGGAAATCACATCAAACACCCAAATGGTGTGAGAAAACTCAATTTTTTTTTATCAGATCTTGTAAAAGAAAAAGCTAATATTTGTGTTAACAGTTACTAAATAAATCATCAGAAAGTAAAATAAGGTTTAGACAAAACCAAAAAATAAAAAAATACATTCAATCTTTCCATGCAAAACACATTAAACAGCCAAAAGGGTGTAAGAAAATCCCATTTTTCTCAGATCTTGTCAAAAAAATAGACCAACTCTTTTTATTCCACAGTTTTAAAACTAAATAAAGAATCAGAAAGTAAAAATTACAGAAAAAAATGGAAAATAAAATAAAATAAAAGGAACAAGAACCTGAAGAAGGGTATTCTTCAAGACCCCAAGAAGGGAGAGGAGAAGAAGAATTTACAATAAGATTGTCATTTTCTGATGAGAAATCAATAAGACTATTAAGCCCATTCACTTCAAGATCCATTTTTTCACACTCTTCAATTGACATTTACTTCAACAGATTCAGTGAAATAAAAGTATAAATCTAAAGCTAAGAATAATGAGAGTATCTGAATTCGATTTGAAATTGGGTTGTTCTTTGATAAAGGGGTTCTGAGCAAAAGTGGCGATGATAGAAATGGAGCGGTAGAGCAAAAAGGGGGAATTATTTTTTTGAACTGCTAAGAGGCGGTTTTTCAAAAATTGAGAAATTAATAAATGAAAAATTGAAAATTTTGTTAGCCGTTTGGGCTTTAAATAAATAAATGGTACTACTGATTTTGAATTGTTGACTTGGGTTGGCCATCTGTACAAGTACAATTGAAGTGGAGTATACAATTTGATAAAACAGTTATTTTTATTCGAACTAATAATTTGGGCAAATCAGCTTGGATCTTTTCTTTTTAACAACTACACAATGGTTGTATTTGTATCCCTCAAAACAATCTCTCTATCTTTACGAGTCAGGAGTGCGAGACAGAATTAAAGTCTACATATACAGTACCTTCTTCAGGTGGAATTATACTAAAATTTTTATTGTTTTTGTTATTGAACTAAACAGTAATTGCCGTGACATTATTTGAATTTAAACTCGTACATTACGATTTAAAAAGTAATTATTTGCCATATGATTATCTTATTAGGATGAAGAAGTTAGATTACTTGAAAAGTTATGTGTATTTTGAAAGTGTACTTGAAAATGCGTGTGTGTATATTCTACATACATACATACATACATACATATATATATA